GAGTCCAGTCGAAGAGGGATTCTATGAGCAAGGGGCATCAAGATCATGATGGGGAAACCTACAGAGACAACCAAACCAAACTAGTGGGAACTCATGACCTTTAGACCAACAGCTGTGGAGCCTCCATGGGACTGGACTAGGCCCTCTGCATAAGTGAGACAGTTGCGTAGCTTGATCTGCTTAAGGGGTCCCCTGGCAGTAGGATCAGGATCCATCCCTGGTCCACGAACCCACTACCTATGGTGGGACACCTCGCACACCCTTGATGGGAGGGGCTTGGACCTGCCTCTACTGAATGGACCAGGCTCTGCCGACTCCCCATGGGAGACCTTGTCTTGTTGAAGAAGGGAATGGGGGGTGGGTTGGGAGGAAGACGAGAGGAGGGAGGAGAGTGGGGATTTGTGGTTGGTATATAAAATGAATTTTAAAATTCCTTAATGAAAAAACAACCTCTCCTCAAAGGTCACGGAGCAACCTTCTCCAGCACCATCTAGAGCAGCTCTCCTTACTCATGTCTGCATAGTCTCTATAGAGCGTTTCTCACATTCTCACTACATGAATGACTTTGTTAATGTGTTGTGTCAGTTTTTTGTGACTGACAAATACCTGAGCAAAACAACTGTAATTACTCTGTTTTTGTTTTATGTGTATGAGTGTTTCTGTACATATATGTATAGGCACCATGTTCATGCGGAGGCCAGACCATCTTTACCTGCCAAGTAATCCTGCCGGATCTAAGTGAAACGATTTAAAAGAACAAAAGAGTTTTGTTTTAGTCATCTGGTTCCGTTATCTCTGGGGTAGTAACACTAACCTCATGGTAGAAGGGCATGGTGGAACAGAACTGCTTGCCTCTTGGCAGCTAGGAAGGGAGAGGAAAGGAAAGGTCAAAGGCAAGCTGCATCTTCCCAGGGCACATGCCCAGTGACCTCCTCCTGCATCTAGCTCCCATGGCCTTCCTATCACCTCCCAATAATGCCATCATCTTTTGAATCCACCAGTGAGTGAAGCAATCCATTAGTTAGGTCAGAGCCCTTATAATCTGATCATATATCAATGGATTCACTAATTGGGGACCAAACTTTCCAGTCAAAAGCCATATGGGGTGGGGGTGGGCCTCATCATATCCAAACCATAACAGTATTTAAATATTTTTAGTCTTAACTGTGCCCACTAGAGCAGACTTAACTTTGTTCCCAGCATATTTTCATTTGCCAAAGGCTATTCAATAATGGATAATTGATACATGTTTGTCAAGTAGCTTTTAAGACAGATGAAAAATATTTTCAAGTTTCTTTTCACAAATTGAAATCCCAATTTAAAACTTTTTTCGCCATGTAATAGGAAATTTATTTCCTTTAGAAGCTGACTTGATCCAGTGAACAGTGGTGGTTTCCCAACTGTGTCTTTTCTTCTTAGAGCCTCTACTAACACACTTTGGAACAAGGAAGCACTATCCATGCTGACATGTGAACTGAAGGTGCATGCTATCAGTCACTGTCTGCCAGGGGCAAGGATGCTTTCTTCCCCTCAGCACCCATTCTAGGATAGTGTCTGCAGTATGCTGGACTCACTGGTTTGCAGGGAATGGAACGTCCTTTCTTTCCATGGAACACTTTTCCTATCTCCAGGATTCCAGCACTGTTCTAAATATCTTCATGTCTCCTTAGGACATGGAAAGATCTGAAAGGCTCTGTTTATTTGGTTGGTTTTGAGACAGGTATCCCATTGTAGCCAAGGCTGCCCTGGAACTCTGTATAGCCCAGATTGACCTTGCACTTGAGGCAATCCTCCTGCCTTAGTCTCCCAAGTGCTGGGATTGCAGGTATGAACAAGCAACCTGGCTTCAAAATCTTTTTCTGCATCCATGAAGGATGTAGGTGGTGGTGCAACTAGGGAGATATGCTTAATTTCAAATTCCCTCTGAGTTCAAGCAGTCTCAGCTCTTGGGCTCCTGGAAGAAAAGAATTCACATCATGGCACAGGTAAAGTGAACACATATCGAAGTTTTATTTCAGCAGCAAGAATACCATCCAGAGTGGAGGGCAGTCAGGTTTGTCTCTAGTGTGGGCACTTACAAGTCTTGGTCTTGGATTTTCAGATCAACTGGTACCCAGATTAGCAATCAATGAGGTTCGTATTTAGGGAGAGACCCTGCCTCAAAAAATAAAAGGTGGAGATCAGTTGAGGAAACAGACTTGACTTCAGACTTAGGCTTCTACACACGTGCACACGTGCACCGATAGCCACACAGACACATGTACCTGGGTTTGGGGGTCCCTGCAGGTGTCATACAGCAAAGTGAACCACATGAAGAGATAAGAATGAAAACTTGGTGCAGATTGACTTCGTCAACCTGGATCAGACTTTGGGAGTCTAATGCCAGGCATTGTCAGCATATTTAAAACACAGTACAAATTGGGAAATTGTTCCCAGGCAACAATCAGTCCAATTCCAGGTGCACAATAAAGCTTAAGGTGTGACTACATAGGAACTATTTTACAAAGTACATGTGACCATGAGGGTGGGTTCTATAGCTAAAGGACCTAGACTCTAGTGTGGTCTCTGACCAATAACAGAGGTCAGCAGGCCATAAAGTATTTGTGATATCTAACCTAAAGATGAGTAATGGTTTAGGGAGGGAAGAGTGTGGGATAATTATTCTGGGTAATTAGGGTGAGGCCTGTCCCTTCAGATGGCAAAAAGGTCACCAGGTCATTAACAACTTCCACTCTCAGCTTTCTAGATGGAATGCCGGTGTTTGATTTTTATCTTCTTCATTGAGGAGACACCTCTGTGTGATTAACATTCCTGGTTCTCTTAGTGCTTCTCTGTGAGTACAAGGACTTCTGTGCCCCTGACATCTCCTTCCTTCTAATTTTTTTTAAAGAAAAAATGAGGCCAAGGCTGAATGCTTTGCCTTTATAGCTAGTCTAATTAGCACAGACAAGCAGGAGAGAATTATAAGAACAGCTAGCAGCCGACTGAGGAAAGGCAAACACCGTCCTCAATTCATCCATGTCTTAATTTCTGTTAATATTTTTGCTGTGAGCAAAGTGGGTGTAATACAGCCTATTCCACATAAATCTTTATAAACCTTAGTTTGGCAAAACAATATCATATGTCACCTATCACAGGTGTGTCTTATCCCCCCTGATGAAAGGCATTTGGATTCTTCATTGACAAGAATTAACATGTAATACAGTCATTAAACATAACAGCATCATTTTGGGGTTAGTCCTTGTTGTTTCCCCAAAGTCTCAGCTTGAGGAGTTAAAGTTCTACTGTCTGCCCAACTTACCAGCTTACTCTCCCTCTTGGGACATCTACTCTTGATGGATTTGTCATCCACCTTCAGAAATTTATTTGTCTGGTGGTTTCTGGATGTCCTAGTTGGATGTTTTCATTTGTCTTGTGGTCTCTGAATGTCCTGGTTGGATGCTTCATTCATCTGGTGTAGCTAGAGTTTTCCTGCCTGGCCCACAGTCAGGACAAATTCTGTCACCTGCCAGTCCCACAGCCTCTCAGACCCAACCAAAGTAAACACAGAGACTTTTATTGCTTACAAACTGTATGGCCGTGCCAGGCTTCTTGCTAACTGTTCTTATATCTTAAACTAATCCATTTCTATAAATCTATACCTTGCCACATGGCTCGTGGCTTACCGGTATCTTCACATGCTGCTTGTCATGGCGGCAGCTGGCAGTGTCTCCCTCTGCCTTCCTGTTCTCTCCTTTCTCCTCTCTGTTAGTCCCGCCTATATTTCCTGCCTGGCCACTGGCCAATCAGTGTTTTATTTATTGACCAATCAGAGCAATTTGACATACAGACTATCCCACAGCAATCTGGTGGTCTCTGGATGTCCTGGTCAGATGTTTCATTCATCTGGTGGTCTCTGGATGTCCAGGTTGGATGTACCAGATCAAGAGCCATCTGGGACTTGTTCATTTTCTGAAAAGACCCAAGCATAACCTCACCTCAATGATAGAACATCAGGCTCTTTCTTTTTAGTTAGCATTTACTGTAGGTTGAGTCTTCTTTAGGGCAAATGCTTTTGGGCAGCAGAAAAACCATTATCCCTTAAAATGAAAAAAAAATTTAAAGTTAAAGTTAGCATAGCTAAATAGAACAATAGTATGTGATGATTTAGGTGGGTGTAAATTCCACTTTTATTTATTTTTTAATTTACCAATTAGGTATCTGATGGTATCATTCTATAATAGTTTGGTCCTATATATAGAATGGTATTTCAGTAACATGATTAATATTAAAATATCTCAAGTCATTTGCTAGCACAAGCAGGAACATTATCATTTTTTAGTTGTAATCGGTCCTAGAAAGGAAATGTATAAGGAGCTATTATTTTGCTGGAGTTTCCGGAACCCCTCGCCATGCCTGGGGTTGTGCTCTGCAGCTGACTAGTTAGGGAGAGGCATTGTGCTCGCCTGTATTGTATTTTGAGCACAGATCTTTACATACCTGACAGCAGAGGCTGTCCAAGACGTAGACAGCCATATTTTCAGACTCAAACTGATGCCCGTTCACTATTAACTATGCATTAGAAGCCTAGAATATTGTAAAAAATTCTTGGTTCTCTTAGTGCTTCTCTGTGAGTACAAGGACCTCTGTGCCCCCAATACCTGGGTGCATGCACACACCCCACTAACAAGTACACACACCCTCCACACATACCTCTTTCTGAGTTCTCTGGCCTGTCCTTCATTAAGGGATTCGAGTCTAATTCAATTTCTAACACAAATAATGGTTCTCATTAGAGGGCAGTGGCCACAGTGCAGGATAGTTTGGCAACACATCGATGTTACAAAATCACAGAAATAAACAGATGTCTTTGAGTGTAGAGCACCAACCCTTTTCAAACAAGTGTGTGTGTGTGTGTGTGTGTGTGTGTGTGTGTGTGTGTGTGTGTGTGTTTGATATGTATGTATGTCGTTGAGTTTAAGGTATGTGTTAAACTTGTAACTTTTCTTCCACTTTGTCAGGTTCTGTAAAGGTGGAAAGGAAGAGGAGGGAGACCAGGAGCTGCAACAGGAAGGAGCCAGCTTCTCACATGACTGCAGTAGTCTGTAGGGCTGAAGGGTGTTACTTGGGTGTGGTCGTGCCTCCTCTGCCTGACTCAGCAATATCCCCCACCCCAGAGAATTTCATACATACAGTTAGAGGTGTTGTCTGATCATTCATTTAGAATAAAGTATAGGGCCTATTGAGATGGCTCAGCAGGCAGAGGTATTGGTTGCCAAGCCAGAAAACCTGTGTTTATGCTACTCACATAGTAGTAGGAGAGAACTGACTCCTGCAAGGTGTTCCCTGACCTCTATGTGTACTGTGGCATGTGCACATACACATGAATAAATTAATAAATGTAGGCCGGGCGGTGGTGGCGCACGCCTTTAATCCCAGCACTCGGGAGGCAGAGGCAGGTGGATCTCTGTGAGTTTGAGGCCAGCCTGGTCTCCAAAGCGAGTTCCAGGAAAGGCGCAAAGCTACACACAGAGAAACCCTGTCTCTAAAAACAAGCAAACAAAAAAAAATAATAAATGTATATAAAGTAATAAATATGCTGAAATCTGAAACCCTTACCATGGCAGACAGGCATTGCATAGTCTACTCACTGGCAGGTCTTGGATCTCATCTGCCTTGCTCTCTGTCCCACACACTCTTTCTTGCTCTACCCACTCCCCCCTCCCCCAGCACATTGCCATCCCGGGACTTTCGCACATGTCACTAAAGTATTCTTCCCTGAAGGGCGGCACAGGTGCTTTGTCTTTTAATATCATTCAGGCCTTGGCATGTTAAGTGCATATGTTCTAACCACAATAGCACCTCCTTTTCTTGGCACTGATCACACCTGCTGTGTGTGCGTGCATTGTGTGTATGTGTGTGTGTGTGTATGTGTTTTGTCTGACTCTGTAATAGAATGTAAGCTCTCTATCTGTGGTGAGTTCATGTCTTTGGATCTCAGTAGTCACTTGGCATCTGGGGGTGTTCAAATGTGAAATATCTAGTAAGTATTTGTCAGACGCCTAAATGAATAGACAACTGAGTGGTGCCTCATTTCCCACAGTTTATATTTGTGATGGCCCATCTTCCTTATAAACTTGCCTGGGTTTAGAATCACCTAGGAGTGTAGATGTAACCAACGGTCTTATTAAATAAGAAACACAGAGCCGATTCAGAGAAGAAAGCCAAGAGGTCAGAGCTAAGAGCCTCACCCTTCCTGATTCAGGGATCCTCTCCAGCCAAGAGAGCTCTCCGAAAAAAGGGGCCTACTTCCTGTGTGTATGTCTTTATATAGTGTAGCTGTTCTGCCTTCTCATTGGTTGTAAACCTAAACATGTGACTGCCTCGTCACTGCCTGAATGTACCGCCCTCCGGGTCCTTAAAGGCGTGCGCCACCGCCGTCACGCACTTGCTATGGCTCTAATAGCTCTGACCCCCAGGCAACTTTATTTATTAACATACAATTAAAATCACATTTCAGTACAAGTAAAATACCACCACATAGGAGACACACCTCTGGCCAGTCTGTGAGGGTGCTCTAGAGATGTCTAACCATGGAGTGAAGACCCACACTTAAAGCAGGTGGTCATCCTAAACTGAACAAGAATGGAGAAGGGGAAAGTCAGCTGAGCACTGGCACTCCATCTCTGCTTTGTCCAGATGTAAGCATTCTCATGCTGTCACTGCTAGTCCTTCCCTGCTGGATGAGCTGTTCTCTTAAACCGGATTCATTCACAGTGGCTACAAGTTATATGTCCTTGTCCCCCCATTTCAGGGTCTCTAGAGTTTCAGGAAAAGACAAAAGGATTTGTTTTGTTTTGTTTTGTTTTTGAGACAGGATTGATCTGTGTAGCCCTGGCTGTCCTGGAACTCACTCGGTAGACAAGGCTGGCCTCAAACTCACAGAGACCCTCCTGCTTCCTAAATACTGATATAAACAGTTCCTGTGTCACATAAAGGAACACAAAGTGAAAGTAGCTTACCAGGAGAATTATTTTTGCAAAAAGTATGCAGCAAGATCCAAATTGAGCTAGCAAGCTCTTTGGGACAGGAAGTTCACTTTAAAAAAGTATTTTTGTCCATGAGTGTTTTGCCTGCATGTTGTATGTCTGTGTACCACATGCATGCAGTGCCTGCAGAGCTCAGAAGAGGGTGTCAGATCCCCTGGACATGTGGTTCTTAAAGCTGCCAGATGGGTGCTGGGAACTGAACCTGTGTCACCCGGATGAGCAGCTAGTGTTCTTAACTGCTGAGTCATCTCTCCAGCCCCTTGGTTTTTATACCGGGCCAGGTAGTAACTGTGTGTGTCTCCCATCAGCTGGGGTCCAACCTCACGGTGTTTCAAGACTGGCTAGTTTCAAGAGGACTGGAGCAAAGGAAATTAAGGAAATTGGGAAGAGGTGGGTCACTTCAAAGTTCCAAGAATGAGTGTGTGAACAAACATTTTGCTGCTGGGAGGAGATTAAAACACTTGCATAAAGATATCACAAGATGGAGGTGATAAAAAGATGAGCATAAAATCTTTCAAGGTGAGAGAGAGAACAAAATTTGAATTCTCTGTCCTAAACAAAAAGTTTTAGAGTGTTTGACAGACTAATAGTTGCTGGGTACACCCTTTAATCGAAGCACTCGAGGCAGAAGGATATGGATCTCTGTGAGTTCAAGGCTAACCTGGACTACATAGTGAGACCCTGTCTCTAAAACAAAGCAAGACTAATACTTAATGTTTCTTACCCTGCTGAGATTAAAGCCATGTGCCACCATGCTTAGCCTGGAAAAGACATTTTTATTAGAAGAGAGACAAAGGAACATTTTCAACACAGCTGTCCTCCTGAAGATGGAGATGTAACACTCTGGGATAGCACAGGACTTCCACCAAGTACTGAATAATAAATCCAGGTGGGTATAGAGATACTGTAGATGTAACTGTCTTATTAAATAAGAAACACAGAGCCAATACAGAGATGAAAGCCAAGAGGTCAGAGCAATAGCTAAGAGCTAAAAACCTTACCCTTCACTGTCGCTGTTGCCCTACCTCTCCAAAAGAGAGCTACTTCCTGTGTCTGTCTTTTTTTATAGAGTTTCTGTTCTGCCTTCTCATTGGTTGTAAACCCAACCACATGACCTCCTAGTCACTGCCTGCCTGTACAGACCTCCAGGTCTTCTATGGTTGGTATTGAGATTAAAGGTGTGTGTCTCCAATGCTGGCTGTATCCTTGAACACACAGAGATCTACTTAGCTCTGCCTACCAAGTCCTGGGATTAAAGGCATGCACCACCACCGCCCAGCTTTTGCTATGGCTTGCTAATAGCTCTGACCCCCAGGCAACTTTATTTATTAACATACAAATAAAATCACATTTCAGTACAAATAAAATATCACCATAAGATACCCTCGAGTTGAGCTCTCCAAGGGTGGACCACACGAGGGTCTCTCCATTGGAGCGCGGCTTGTTTGATCACCCCAGACATCAGGCTTGGATGACACAGGCACAGCAATATGTGACCAGCCTGCAGAGATGGGGTCCCAGAGGACAGGAGACCAGGTCTGACCGGTATGGTGGCCAGAGAGGAATAAGCCGGCATAAGCCTGGCCCGACAGACATCTCCGTTCTCCTCCCTCCGCAGCCTCTCCCCACTGTCTTAAAGGTTAACTGGGAAGCACAGAGGCTATGAGTTTTACCCAGAAAGATCTGTATCTTGAAGTGGTAAGGCGGTATACAAACACAGGTAGCATATTTTCCTCTACTGTTTGGAGGAAGATAAACCACAGGGCAATAAAAACAAATAACACCAATACAATCTTTAAGCAAAGCCATGTCTCAAGATTTTGGCTAAGGCATTTCACCTGTGTTAATCAGATTTTTAAAATTTTTTTTTTAATTTAATGTGTATAGGTGTTTTGTCTGCATGTATGTCTGTACACCACATGTGTGTCTGGTATTCACAGAGGCTAGAAGAGGGCATTAGGATCTCCTGGAACTGGAAACACAGGCAGTTGTGAGCTGCCATGTGGTCCTGAGAATTGAACCCAGGTCCTCTGGAAGAGCATCCAGGGCCATCTCTCCAGCCCCTAATCATCAGTGTGACAAAAGATGACAGAGATAACTCAAGCTAGTGAACATTCACTTTAGCTCCTTCTTTTAGTTCATGGTTGTCTGACTCTGTTACTTTGGGCCTCAGGCAAGGCTTTTGAATATCATGGTTGCAGGAGCATGATGGAGGCTGTTCATCTCATGGTAGCTGGGAAGCAGAGAGGAGGAGGAGGAGGAGGAGGAGGAGGAGGAGGAGGAGGAGGAGGAGGAGGAAGGAGTCAGAGCAAGATATACTCCCTCAGTGACTGCTTCCTCCAACCAGCCTCCAACTTTCACAGTCCCACTACCTCCCAGAAGTCTAGTTAGGTTCTGGGTTCAAATACGGGTCAGTCTACTGATGGAGGCAGGACTTGCATGATTGAATTATTTCCCCCAAAACCTCACCTCAAAACACTGCGTGTATCAGAACCTACCGTTAGCTGTCTGGGGATACTTCACATCTGAAGTATAACAGCACCTCTGCCCACACTGAGGCAAGTGATAAGACCCCTGCCAAGCAGTGCTGCTTTAACACATGCAGTCCCAAACTATAGAAATGACAGACATCTGGCTGCCTGGACAGTCACCCAAGGTTCCTCTGTAACATTGGGGCATCATCGGCCTGCAGGCCTAGAATATCTGACAGACTTTTCTGTGAAGCAGGAAATTTTTGAAGGACTGCCCTACCTTGTCATGGCAAAGTTTGGCAGTTGCTTTTTTGTGTGTCCTGCTTGTCCAGTTTGGATAGCATACTGTGAACAGTCAAGGCAAGGGCGGTTTCTTGTCCAAATGGCTAGCTTTTGCCACAAAGAAAGCAAACTCCATATGGAGGTTCTTCAATGCTTATCATCCTTTTATGAAGTAGATTGGTGCTGCCAGGAGCAGATGTATCTCATCGACATGAAAGGCCTTGTTATTAAAACAGTTTAAAATTCCATATTCTGTATGTCTTTGAAGAGTTTGGAGACCATCTCTGTATTTAAAGTATATCTCTATTTGACCTTGAAAACATACCTATATATATGTTTGATTGTTATAGAAGACTAACTACTAACTAATAGTATTTCTTTACTATCCTAAATAGCTTTCAAGGACTAAAACTTTACATAACCTTTTAAAATGAGCTGCATCAGTACAATACCTTAAACAAGAGTAGGAACATATATACAGTATAACAAAAATAACCTTAAATTTGTATCATTATATAAAAATCCATACCAATGTAAAATGTTTGAGACCAGTGGTTGTTCAAAAGTAGACTCAACAATCCACCCTTTTATCTCATCGTTTCTATACTATATCCCCCTTTTCTCCTTTAGAATGAGATCCTTGAATCTAATCTCCTTTAGTTTTCTCCCTGACCATGACCAATAATAACTTGTAACCAACCACCCTTAATGATGACAAACATCCATAACCCATCAAATGACCAAAAACCATCCACCCCACCTCTTGGCAATATGGGCACCATGTTCTCTAGACTGCTTCCTGTTGTCTGGGGGCAATGACATCTTTGAGGGACCCTGAGAAAAGTAAGATAATATAAATTCCTGGGAGAGCTAGCTATTGTCTAGTCTCAGTGTGCTAGAAAAATGTAGGGCTTATCTGAAGTCTGGCTGGAGTAGTCTGTGAGGCTGGACCATCTCAGCCATCAGACTTGAAGCTGTTCTGGATATAGAACTCTGAGGAAACTGCAACAGAGGCATTCTTAGAGGCTGGATCACCTGAGCTACTTGTCTTCTTTGGTGCCTGGTCCCCTTGCTCTGAGAACACACAAAGTTTTAAAGGTAACATACATGTCTGCATTAACGCAAGTATGAAATGTGCAGTGTGCATAAATCAATTAAAGATGAGTTTGAGCAGGTAAAAGGTGTCTGTCGACTTTATAAGTCCATTTGGGCTGCATAACCAAACTGTAATATAAATCTCTGTCCATGCCATATGAAAAGATAGCATGTAATAAGTCATGATGGGCCAGTCGTTAGTGGCGCATGCCTTTAATCCCAGCACTCAGGAGGCAGAGCCAGGCAGATCTCCGTGAGTTTGAGGCCAGCCTGGGTTACCAAGTGAGATCCAGGACAGGCACCAAAACTACACAGAGAAACCCTGTCTTGAAAAACCAGGAAAAAAAAGTCATGAGAACTCTGTAGCAAACAAGATTTATCATGTCCCATCTCATCTCTGAGCTCTTCCCATGCAGAGGGATCAGCTTACATGTCACTCGTCCTGTAGTCTTTTTTGGCTTCCTCTCCAGTGTCTGTAACCAAGATTTTCAGGAGGTCTCCCCCAGTCCAATCTGATCTCTACTAACCTGGAAAGAATCCACAGCCTTTCATTTCCTGTGGAAACAAAAGTGTAACCTCTTCCCCAACGTAATACATTTTTTTACTTCCATTTTAAAGTTATGGCATCCCTAAAGTATATAGGTTGGTTTAATTCAGCAGTCCCTTCCAATCCAATGTCTCTCAGCAGCTGTTGTCTGTTTATTAGCATTCAAAAAGTTCAAAATTAACAAAGCATCATATAAAGTCCAAACTCCCTGCGTTATAGTATTTCCCATCCTTACATGGCTTATTCTTTTTGTTATTATTATTACTTCTCTCTTTAAAGACTTTACTTATCATTTTTAAACTATTTTTTATGACTATCTACGTCCTTTTTCTTTTTTTTTCTTCAGTGTCTAAGCATATTTTTAAAAACACTGTAACCTGTGTAGAGATTTTTTTTTCCATCTGAACCTGTTTTACTGTGTATCTGTAACCTTTTCTGTCTGTATGAACAAAACCTTAAACAGCTCATGGCATGCTGGCAGCTCAAGTCAGCAGGCAGTGGCCAAGATACAAATATCTGTACCATGACCAGCATGAGAGACTGCGGGACTAGGAAACCACGTTTGGCTCTGTTTTTGTGTGTTTGGAACCTTTTTTTTAAAGCTTTTTCAGGTGTTACATGGAAATACATACCCCCAAATTGGATGCCATTTGTAGCTGGCCTTTTTCATCAGGACTGCCTGCTCCCCAGTAATGACATGGAGACTTATTAATTATGAACGCTCGGCTCATAACTTAGGCTTGTTTCTAACTAGCTCATAACAATCCATTTATATTAATTTCTTCCTGCCTCATGGCTTTATTATCTCATCTCCGCAGTGCCCATCCTGCTTGCTCTGCATCTCCTGGCATCTCCCTCTTCTTCTTGCCAGCATCCTCTCTGCCCAGAAATCCTGTCTCCCTATTGGCCATTCAGCTTTTTAATTAACCAATCAGAGTGACACATCTTCACAGTGTACAAAAAGATTATTCCACAACAGCAGATGAGCTACCCATCTACCTCTCAGGGCCACTGAAAGCCTGACAAGAAGCATTGCTGTCATTGAAAACTTATTACAGACAGCATTAGAAAACTGTTTTCTCTGAGAATGACACATTATGATCAGGCAATAGGTGCTTCTGGGAAATGACAAAATACAGATCCAGGAAGGGATCATCATAGCACACTTTATCTAACCAGCTCCTGGGGTATTTCAAATTGTAAAGTTAAGCTGAAAATGTTTAAAATGGCCAACAAGATCCCAGCCTGAAACATACCAGCAATGAATAGCCCACAGGGTGAAGGGTAGGGGAAGCATCTGCTGTTTTGATTTGAAGGTCTGGCTGTGTCGCTCAGGCTGGTCCGGAACTTGTGGCCCTCTGGGGCTTGTTTCAGGTTGTGGACTGGATGTTTTGGTTTGATTCCTCGCAAACTCCTATGCTGAAATCTTAACTCCTAATTGATGGTTTTAGGAAGTGAAGCCTTGACAGGTCATAAGGCTGGAGGGTGGAGGTCTGAGAAAATGGAATTAACATCCTTACAAAAAGAGACTCCAGAGGTTTTTCTCTCCTCCTCCTCCTCCCCATCCTCCTCCTCCTCCTCCTATTTTTTTAAATTTTTACATCCCAACCAAAGTTTCCCTTCCCTACTCTCATCCAAGTCCCTCTCCCCACCCCCTCCCCACTCCACCCCTCCTCCTGTTTCTCTTCTGAAACCAGTGGGCCTCCCAGAGGGCCTAGGTCAGTCCCATGCAGGCTCCCTGGTTGTTGGTTCAGTTTCTGGGAGCCCCTATGAGCCCAGGTTAGTTTATTTTTTTTAATTAAATTTTTTCATTTATTTTACATCCTGATCACAGCTTCCTCTCCCATCCTCCTTCCATTCCCCCCTCCTACTTCCCCTCTGTCCCCCCTCCCCAACCCACCCCTCCTCCACCTCTGTTCAGAAAGGGGCAGGCCTCCCATGGGTGCCAACAAAGCATGGCATATCAAGTTGAGGTAGGACTAAGCTCCTCTCCTTGTATTAAGATTGGGCAAGGCAATCCAGTATGAGGAGTAGGTTCCTAAAAGCCAGCCAAAATGTTAGGGACAGGCCTCTCTTCCACTGCCAGGAGTCCCACAAGCAGACCAAGCTATACAACCATCACACATATGCAGAGGCAGGTCCCATGCAGGCTCCCTAGCCATCGGTCCATAGTCTGTGAGCTCCCATGAGCAGGCCAGATGCTTCTGTAGGTTCCTGATTACCCTGACCCTCCCCCCCATACAATCCTTCCTCCCTCTCCTCAACAGGATTCCCCAGGCTCCGCCCAGTGCTTGGCTGTGGATCTCTGCATCTGTTTCCATCTGTTACTGGATGAAGGCTCTCTGATGACAACTGGGGTAGTCACCAATCTGATTACAGAAGGCCAGTTCAGGCTACCTATCCACTATTGCTAGGAGTCTTAGCTGGGGTCATCTTTGTGGATTTCTGGGAGTTTTTGAGACAAGATTTCTCTGCGTAGCCCTAGCTGTCCTGGTACTTGCTCTGTAAGACTGGCTCAGAGAGCCACCTGCCTCTGCCTCCTGAGTGCTGGGATTAAAGGTGTGCACCACCACTGCCAGGCTGAGACCCCAGAGACTCCTAAGGCTTTCTTTCTGACACATGAAGATTTGTTGAGAAGTTGGAAGTCTATAAGCCCAGGAGGGCCCTCACCAGAACCGGGCTTTGCTGGCATCTTGAGCTGTGACTTCCAGCCTCTGGACTCAGAAGTGGGCTGCTGCTTTTAGAAGCCATGGAGCTTTGACACAGCAGCCCTCCCCAACAAGAGTCCTCCCTCAGTATGTGGGGTAGTTCTGGACCTGTGTCCTGCTGCCTGGTGGGCATGCCCTTGTATAGGTATGAGGACTGGTAATATAAAGGGCTTGTCACTCTCATGAATATGCATGTGGTAATGACCTTAAGAATGGGAGAAAGCTGGGGCTGGAGAGATGGCTCAGCGGTTAAGAGCACTGACTGTTCTTCCAGAGGTCCTGAGTTCAATTCCCAGCAACCACATGGTGGCTCACAACCATCTGTAATGAGATCTGGTGCCCTCTTCTGGCCTGCGGGCGTAATGCAGGCAGAACATTGTATACATAATTAATAAATAAATCTAAAAAAAAAAAAAAAAAAAGAAAAAGAATGGGAGAAAGCCAAAATGGTGGCATGTGTCTATAATTTGTGCTTTGGAGGCTGAGGCAGGAAAATCAAAAGATTGAGGCCAGTGTGACTATATAATGAACTATATAGTGACTTCCAGGCCAGCCTGGGCTATAGAATGAGTGCCTGATTAAAAATGCCAGCACATAGGAGGTAGAGGTAGGAAAATCAGGAGTTCAAGGCCAGTTCCAGCTACATTATGAACCTGACACCTACTATGTTTGGGCTATGGTTGTTTAAACAAACAAGTGAGTGAACGGGAAGTCCTGAGACCCTGACCTAATACGGGGACTGTTAAAAGGGGAGAAGGGATCAGGCTGTTCCAGAAGGGTAAACTGAGGCATGGGAGGGTTGTGATGCAAGTCAGATTCTCTGGTGCTGACTCTGAAGAAGGCCACCACATGACAAGGAGGGCAGACTGCCCCTAGGGTGGTGCCTGACCTTTTCTGTCTGCAAGGAAACAGGATCCTCAGACTTAATTTAGCCTACAATGTATGCCTCCTGCAGAAGAAACAACCTGGCTGAAACTCAATTTAACCTGTGAGGCCCCAGTAGACACTACCCAGCGGGTCTGACCCTTCCTTAATGGCCATCTTGTTCCAGCCTTATCACTGGAAACCAAAAGCCATTATATCTTTAACAAAGAACTTCAAATCATCTCTCCCAGAATTGCAGGGTACTAGCAACGAACAGTTGTGAGCTCTTTAGAAATAAAACTAGGCCACACATCAGCACCGTCTCCATCAGTCAGGAGTGTGACCTTGCCCAAGTGACCCCTTCACTTTGCTTGGTTGGTTTTTCATTTTGTTTTTTGTTTTTGTCGGAGCTGAGGACCGAACCCAGGGCCTTGCGCTTGCTAGGCAAGTGCTCTACCACTGAGCTAAATCCCCAACTCCCCACTTTGCTTCTGGGGGGGAAAAAACAGTGGCAGCGACTTTTGTAAGATGGCTTTGATCACAGGTTCCTGGAAACTCCTCCCTCAAGCAAAGCTGTCCTCCAAACTCCATGTGATGGGCCAATGGGCCACAGCTTCCTTCTATAAAGTGTCCATTTTGCGCAGGGCATCTGACCACGTACTTCTTGACCTCACAGTGGCCCTGGCACCAGCAACAGCACAGAGAAACGCCTGTACTGTTTGTTAGCCCTTTTGTGATGCCCAGTTCGCTAGGCAGGCTCTGGTTCCCTGTTTGATGATGGGAAGGAAAACCACATGGTTCCTACACTGGCCAAGTGTACCCAGGAGCCAACAGTGTGATCTCTTTAAAAAGCCGCCCCAGTCCATGAGATTCCTCTGCTCCACCGGCTCTGGCTCTCGGTGCTTCCCGGACAATCCATGTAGGCCCTGGCTTTGCTCACTGAGCTCTGCCCAGCGGGCTCCAAGCTTGGACATCCATTCGGTGGCTGGCTAGCCATCCTCTGTACCTGCTGTACAGGCAGAGTTCCCTTTTCTGGGAAACCAAGTAGCTGCAATTCCCCAGGATGACCCAGAAACAATCCTACCCAGGCTTCCAAAGAATGGAAATCACCTGAACTTTCCTTCCGTGCCTTGGTTGGCTTCACTGGAGGCAGGAGGAAGCTTGCTTAAAGCTGGCGGCCCATGCACTGCACCGGCTGGCGAGCCACTGGGCGGCGCCTCTCCTAGTGGTCACGGCAGGGACTCCAGGGCACTGGGCTTTTTGTGACAGAGCATCGGGTGACGGGCCGACTCTCCGGCGGCCAGGGCCAGCGGGCGCCGTGCGCTGCGGGCCGCTGCAGACAGGGGGCGGCCGCGCCCACTTCCTCCGCCGCTCCGCACCCGCCGGCGGCGCACCCGGGTGGCAGCGCTGCGCGCCCAGGACCTATCCGGCTGCGGCGTGGCGGCCCTCGGCGCGCTCGGATCCCACCGCGCGCTTTGCGACCCGGCTACGGAGCGTTCGGCTGCCCGCATGGACGCGGCGCTGAAACGGAGCCGCTCTGAGGAGCCGCCGGAGCTCCCGCTGCCAGCTCGGGAGGTGGAGGAGAAAGAGGAGGAGGAAGAAGAGAGGATGGAGCAGGGCCTGGAGGAGGAGGAAGAGGTGGACCCCCGGATCCAGGTAGGACGCGTGAGAGGAGCCCACAGCCCCACCCCGCCAGGACTGCCGTGGAAGTCAGCGTCTACGCGGACACACGCCTTGCAGCCCCGCCGTGTCCGCGGTCGCGGGGTGGAGGCCGCTTAGGTCCAGGATCTGCACCGAGGCTTAGGACACCCCATTTCACGGTCTCCCCGCGGGAGGCTGCGGTGCCCGCGTGGACGCGGCCTGATTATTGTGGGGATCCCTGTAGACCTTCGGCCCAATCGGAGGGTCCTTGCAACACAACCAGCGGTTCAGGCGGATTGCAACAAAGGGAAAAGGGGGCGGGGGCCCCCGAGGGGAGTCGGGGTACCTTGGCGCAGCTCTCGATGCCCTGAGCACGGCACAGCCTCCAGGTTTCAGAGCAGCTTTACCTCGGCCGCGTGGATGCGGACACCGTGGTGGGCGAGTGGGGCCGGGTGGTTGTCGCCTGCCCCTGCGGCGTGGGCTGCACCAGTGCCCGGCGCCGCGCTAGCCCTCACCTGGCGGAGATGCCTGGCCTCAGTCGCCTTGCCTTCCTCTTTTGGTTCATTGTCAACACACGGAGGGCTTCGTTGCCACCGTGTTGCACTTGGCCTGAAACTGTTTAAAACCCTGCTTTTCCTTGAGGTCGGGTGTGAACACCTACTAGGGACAGCTGATGTGCAAAGCAGACGCGTGGAGGCAGAGAAGGGAATGGCCTGGCTTTCTGTGCCTCCATTTCCAGGAGGGATGGTTAAAAAACAGTTTCCAAGCGAGATCCAGGAGTGACAGCTTAACCTCCTCACCCTCCGAAGCATGAAGCACAGCAAATTCCTTTCCCTGACCTGTTTTTAATTCCCTTTCCATAAATCTTTTTTAAAAATTGCTATTAAGCTTGTTCTGCAATTTCTGGATCAGTAATTGATTTTAACTGCACAGGAAAAAAAACCCCACATTGTTATTAATTCAGTAGTTACATTTTAAATTAATTGTTTTGTCAAATTAACACGTTAAAGATTAGTGAGAAAACCTTCTCATTAGCTACTCTGTTAATTCAGACCATGGGTTTGGACTACGAATCTTGTGGTTTCGGCATGTGTTAGCAAGACCCTTTGTTCACAGAGTAGAGATGAGTTAACTTCATGTTGACTACTTCTTACAAAATGTCAGGTTGTAAATGTTTAAAGAGAGCAGACTTCAAGCTAGTTAACCAACAACACCCCCTGTCAGGGAGAGTGAATAATGGGCAACTAGGGGGGAAATGCATCTCTTCATAGGGAAAGAAAGACCCTCTGATGGCTTAAAGCCAGCTAGAAGTCTGTCTTTAGCTTGCCTGGCTCACTGGGTTTATGATTTGCCTTGGCCTTCCACAAAGTTCTTCTCTAAAGCCCAGGGTGCTGTTTGGACTGGGTTACTTACTGTTTGTAACAGCTGTGTTCACCTGGGGAAAAAATGACCTTCCAGGGAAAGATAGATCCCTAGGACCTTAAGATGTTGTCCAAAAGGACATGTCAAAAGGTTTTGGAAATGCCAAATGCTTTGTCTTTTAGCAAGCCTCTACTGTTTTCTTTAAGAACGAACTGACTTTTCATCATTCAGGGGTGATTTTCCAGTTCTAGACTAAGTTACTCTAGAAACAAAAGGCGTGTCCTTCAAATCTCTCTCTCTCTCTTTTCATTAGGGAGAACTGGAGAAATTAAATCAATCCACGGATGACATCAACAGACAGGAGACGGAACTTGAGGTATGGAGAGCTGGAACACTGTCCTGGGTGAAATAGTGTCAGTCACCTTTGACCCTGGGCTGGTTAATTTTGTTTTAATAGCTGGAGGTTGGCTGCAGGAGGCCCCTGCTTGAGCGCTGAGCAACAGCATGTGTCTGACAGTGAAATACACCCGCGTCCAGGCTGTGGGCGGATGCATGTGGATCCAATTTCATGTGTTGTTTTTCATTTTGGAGACTCCATTGGGGCCAAAAGCAAGGGCTGGGCAGAGTATTAGACAATGCTTATGCCCCAAATATCCCCAGATCTGCGGAAAAGCTAAAAGAACGATTTAGCTGAACTCTTTAACGGAGAAGAGTAAATGGGTCCGCATCTCTTCCCTGTTTTATTTAGGGTGGCCCCTCCTAACAGTGCTCCGAACTGTTAAGGTTTCCTCAGACTTAAGCCGGATACTTTACCTGCCCATACTAATAATTCACCCCTCTTTGGACTTACCTGCTTCATTTCTTTATTGTCTGCTTGTGTAGAATATAATTATCTTAATGGTAACAAAAAGCTGTTTGGGCTGCAAGGGCTTTCCTGCTAGGAAAAAATCTTGGGAGATAAAATCTTGATTTGAATTTGAGGATTTTCCAACTTTCCTGTAAACAAGTTAGGGTTCTTCGAAGCTACCAATTTCTAGTAGTGGTTGGCGTTACTAGCCAAAGTGAGTGAGGGACCAAGGGACGGCGAAGAGCTGTTGTGAGAACGAACCTGTTTCTACAGTAGAAATAGCAGTAAGTGTGTAAGGAGGGAGCAGGGAACACCAGGCCCCTCAGAGTGAGGGTGTGGGGGATAAGAAAATCCTTGGCTGGAATTTCCTGGCAGCCTGCTTTCAGATAGCATGTAGCCTTGGAGATAACAGACACATCTGTGGCGGTGTGTTCAAGTTGCTCTAGGCTGTGCGAAGGCTCATCTGTCAACTCGTTCCCATGCTGATCTATGTAAGGAATTCGCGAACTTGGTGAAGTTGGGCAGTTGAAAACTCAAAAATCTCAGATTTCGAAAGCATTAAATAAACAAAATATCCTTACCATTTTGAGAGAGCAATAACACAAGCCAAAGGTTTTCCCTAAGCTTTCATTTGGTCCTGTTACAACAGCCCAGAGGAAAACACACACACACACACACACACACACACACACACACACACACACACACACAACACACACAAAAACCAAACACAAAGAAACAAAACCAAACAACAACAAAAACATTCTCATGTAGCCTTGGCTGATTTCAAAATTCAGTATATAGTGGAGGATGGCTTTGAACTCTGGGTTATTCACCCTTCATCTCTAGGTACTGGGGTTACAGGCCTGCACCAATATACCCACTATTCTGAATCTTTAATTTCTACATCCCAAATGTACATAGACAAGGTGGGAAGAGTTTTGTATTTTGTTTTGAGCAGAAGTTTTGGCTTGTTTATGGTTGCAGCATCAGAATGAAGTTCAGGGCCTTGTGCATGTTAGATAAGCATTCTACCAGATGGACTCGTGAGACCAGGGATGAACAGAAATCAGGAAGAGCTGGCTAGGCATAGCACACGTTTCTGCAATCCCAGCACCTGGGAGGCAGAGGCAAGGAGAATCAGGAGTTGAAGGTCATATAGCCACAAGCAAGTTTGAGGCACATGAGACCCTGTCTCATGAAGGAAGGAAGGAAGGAAGGAAGGAAGGAAGGAAGGAAGGAAGGAAGGAAGGAAGGAAGGAAGGAAGGAAAGTAATCAGGGACCACTGAGGCAGAGGTGGGAAGCTGGAGATGGCAAGGGGGTGGTCTGGCTTTCTGTTTCAGTTTCTGAGAGAGAGAGAGACTAGCCTAGTTTGTCTTTTCCTTTTGCTTTCTTAACCACTGCTGGTCACTATTCTGGGTAATGAACAAGATCGCCCCATAGCCCCATAACTCACTCTCCATGGTACCTGCCTTATGAGGGTTAGGTTGGTTCATTTGTTAAACTCTTTTTAGCCCTCATTTCTGAATTCCCCAGATTTGGTGTGTCACAGGAAGCCACTGGACAGGTGTTTCCTGCCAGGCTCTGGGGCACATTGGAGCCCTGGTGTGTTAAGGACAGAGCTTGCAGAATGAATCTCTTTATATATAGAAAGGATGTTTATTAGAATGGCTTAAAGACTGTGGTCCAGCTATTCCAACAGTGGCTGCCTACTAATGGAAGATTCAAGAATCCAGGAGTTAATTACTCAGTCCACCAAGCTGGATGTCCCAGCTGGTCTTCAGCATGTGCCGGAATCCTGAACATGTAGACTCTAATGCCAGTGAAGGAATGGACTTGACATGTGAGTGAGGGCAAGCAGGCAAAGAGCTTCCTTTTTCCATGTCCTTTCTATAGGCTGCCAGCAGAAGGTGGGGCCCAGATTAAAAGTGGATTTTCCCACCTCAAAACACCAGGATTAAAAGTGTGTCTTCCCACTTTACATGATGTAATTTAGAGAAAGGAAATCCCTCACAAGTGTGCCCAGATGCTTAGGTTTTAGTTAATTCCAGATGTAGTCGGTTGACAACCAAGAATTCATACCTGAGTGGTGTGAGCTGGAGGGTTTGACGAGGGTAGCCTGGCTGGGTTGTGTTGCTGGATGGCCGTCCTGGTGTACTTACAACCAGGACAAACTCAAAGAAGTGTTATACAAGCCACAGAAGCAATTAAAAAGCTCCCTAGTCGCTACATTAAAACTTACAAAAGACAGCCTGGCAGTGGTGGCACACGCCTTTAATTCCAGCACTAGGGAGGCAGAGGGAGGCAATCTCTGAGTTCAAGGCCAGCCTGGTCTTCAGAGAGTTCCAGGGCAGCCAGATAAACCATGTCTCAAACAGCAGCAGCAACAACAACAACAATTACAAAAGACATAGGGGAATTTAATTGTAATGTATTTTGTTTAACCCAGAATATTCACAGTAGTATAAATTCAACAGGGAGTCACTAATAACAATGATTAACTTGGGGGTTGGCAGTGTGGCTCAGAAGAGGAATACTGCCTGGCATGCCCAAGACCCTGGGCTCAATCTCCAGTGGGTGGGAGGTGGGAGAGGGGGTGATGTCGTACATGGTCCTTTCGCTGGTGCTGTTGAGGATGGAAGCTGGACCCCGCACAAGCTAGGGAAGCCCTCTGCCTCTGTGCTGTACACCAGCACCTCCAGATGTTTGTGTGCTAGGTCTTCAGAACTGGTTCAGAGCTCTCACTTTGAGTACATTCCCTTATAACCTTCTGTATTTGAGAACAGCAGCTTTATGCCGTCTGGGCTGCAAAGGGCTGGTAGCGGTTCCTATCAAATTCATGATCCTATTGCTCGAGTCTGGAGTTGCATGCACCCTGTGCATGTGTGAAGCCCTGGCCTCCAGCTGGGTGTCAGGAACTGTGCATGGGTGAGCAAGACAAAGCCTGTTTTTGTGGAGCTGAGGAGTGGGGAGCCGGGAGTGCCAGGCAGCAGACCCCGGGCTGGAAGCATGGAGTAAGAAAATATCCGTGGACAAGATCAGCACAAGGAGCAAGCAATTGTGTGTGGGGCTTGGGCTGGATGTCAAAAAATGTAGGTAGCCAGGCATGCTTCTGTAGTCCCAGCACTTGGGAGGCAGAGGCCAGAGGATCAGGCGTCCGAGGGAACCCTCCCTCAGTTACATGGTGAGTTTGAAGCCAGCCTGGGCTACATGAGACACTGTATACAAAGTCAAAATGTACTGGAGAGATTGAAACAGGAGGATTACTGTGAATTCAAGAGTGGTGGGCTATGGTATGAGACCCTGTCTCAAATAAATAAAAATAAAGTTTTCAAAGGTCGGGCATTTGACTAGCTGATGGACATATGATTGGAGGCCCGGAAAAAAATACCTGTATTTTCCCGGGAACAGGTGCAGTAGTCACTAAGTTAGTGATCACAGCCGTGTGGCCAAGAGTGGGTTCCACCTTAAGATGGTTCTCCAGCGTGGGAGCTCGTGCCTATAATCCAAGCGCTTGGGAGGCTGAATCGGGATTTTGACTTTGTCCCCAGCCTGCTAATCCCAGTCCTTGGGAGGTGGAGGCCCACTGTCTCAACAAAAACAAAGACACCTATTCCACCAGGCAGGGAGCTGCAGACCCAGCTACCCCGAAGGTGGGGCAGGAAGATAGCAAGCTCTGCCTAGATTATGGGGAGAGTTCAAGGCTAGCCCAGCCGCTTACTGAGACCCCCAGGCCCCAGAGGACTGCAGCTGATATCTGAATTCAGCACTCAGCTTTCCATCACTGTGACCAAATGCACAAGCTAATCCACTCGCACAAAGGAAAAAGCCCACAGTTTTGGAAGTGTCCGTCATCGGTGGACCTCGCTGTGCCTGGAACTGTTGTGAAGTGTGATATAATATTATGGTGGGAATGTGTGGCAGAGACTCGTTAGACATTGTCTTAAAGACGTAAGAAACAAAACAGAACACCTCAATTGATCCTAACTGCTGGTGTCTCCCAAGTGCTAGAATTACAGGAGTATGCCCCCATACCTACCTGGATGCATTACTGTTAAAAAAGAAGACTTTTTTTTTTTTTTTTTTTGAGACAGAGTCTCGCTATATAGCTCTGGCTGTCCTGAACTCATTCTGTAGACCAGGCTGGCCTCAAACACACAGAGATCCATCTGCCTCTGCCTCCCAAGTGCTGGGATTAAAGCTGTGTGCCACTGTGCCTGGCCCTTTAAAAAGTATTATTTTATTATTTTTATGTGAGTGGTGTGTATGTGTTTGTGTGTGTGTGTGTGTGTGTGTGTGTGTGTGTGTGTGTGTGTGTGTGTGTACAAGTGCCATGGATTGCTTGTAGAGGTGGGAGGACAGTTTTGTGGAGTCAGTTCTCTATCATGTGAGTAGTTCTGGGGTTTGGAGCTCAGGTCATCTGGCTTGGCAGCAAGCACCTTTAACTGCTGAACCATCTTGCTGTCTGTCCCCTCTCATTTGAAATATTTGTTAAAATAGATTAGATACAAAATTTCTAAATCTAATT